GTCCGCGAGTGGAAAGTGTGAAATTCCTTTTCACGGGATTCTCGTCGAATGGGTCTTCCATTGAATCGTTTCGTGATTAAAGACGATTGAAGTTGTTGAAAAGTAAATGACGGTTAGATAATTGAGGTTCAACGGCGGACAAGCTGTCGTCAACCTAAATGTTATAACAGCAACAATCACGACGATAATCCATCGTACACTCAATAGTAATAATTACGATGATACGTTGATGTTTCTATTTTCAATAGACGAGATTAATAATTACTCTTGCGAGGTCTTCTTTCACGAATATACGTATCTATGTCACCGGTGTTTATTCGTGTATAGTTTCACATTACAACTATCTAATTCTAGCCCAACATAAATTTTGCCAAAAAAAAAAAAGAAAACACCAGAGTTTTGTCTCCTATCGATTTTTACAACGACGATTATTATTTCTTCTAATTACAAACAAAGCTGTTCCGCGTACATGATAAATAATAAGCTCGTTTCCCACGATCTCCAGTTCAACCCATGAATTCCCCAATAATGTTTCACAATGTACGCACAGCATGACTTCGATTCTTACCAACAGTATTCCACTCCTTTCGTAATCTTCTATTATCGAAACGCACTTGAGAGACTAAGAATCCAAACACTTTCGATAAGTATCGTGAAATCATCGATTAACGATTAATTCGAGAAACAATCCCTCTGTACATACGTGTAACCAATTGAAGCCAGATATTACGATCTTCGGCGTTAACCACATTTTATCTTGGTCCACTGGACGACACGATCGACTGTAGGCGTTCTGCTAATGCTTTAATAAACAAGTTGTCTTCCTCACGCGTACATCAACTTTTCCATTAACGTATCGACGGACCGTCGTCTCTCGTCGAACGCCCACGCGCCTCGTCTGACACCAAGTCTCCCCGCGATAACAACGTAAAACGTTAGTGATGTAACGTAGCGAGTGAACGCATTCGTTTAATTTACAAAAAATTATAAAAAATGAACTTAAATTTTAATATTCTGTGATATATATATATATATATATTTATTATAATAATTATATCATTTTTTTCAATTTAAACTTTCTATTAGTAATAAAAAAAGTTACAATTTATAATAATAATTATATTTATTCAATAATATTGCAAATATTCTACTTCCAAATTTTCCAAAATTATATAATTATCTTAATAATCATTTCATTTATCATCTTAATACTTTTAGTCTCATCGAAAATTTGTTATGTTGAAAAGAAATCTTTACGAAATGAATTATTACAATGAAAAGATTTATAATAATGCGTCGTTTCACTTTCTTCTTTTCTTTTTTTTCTTTTCACCGATAGTGACTATTTTTGTTAAAAATGTCGTATCTTAAATTTACGGATTAAAATCAATAAATATGAAAGTCATTCCACGATTATGAAAGCCTCCGGTTAAGGAGTAACCCAGTTGACAGGTTGTTGAAGCTTCTTGATGGCAAATTGAATCACCCCAATCGAGGATTTCTAACGTTCGATCGGTACCTGTTTGGAAATTCGTGTCAAAATGTTCGTTCTAACCGTTGGCGCAACATCGCGATACCCTCACAAGGAATACGAATGTGGCTATTGTCGCGAACAGTTTCTTTCACGTGCCTCTGGAAAGCCAAAGCGTATGGCGACATTTTTTTCAGAAGATATCGCGATACGTGGAACATCGGAACAATATATACCGCGGACGAGTGAAAGCTACGTTCAATGCGTTGTGTATCGAAGATTTATGTGTCATCTCGTATAGCGATTACAACGACATTTAAGTAATGTACTTAAAGAGAAATATGTTTCTCGTATGATCCTCGAACTTAGAAAGTCGCGACGTGAAAAGAATTGGTTGGATTTGTAGTTTGCGAAATACTGAAATAAAGATCTCTGAATCAATCTGCAATTGATATTTTTATGAAAATAATTAATTAAAAAATTAGGGCAACTTTGACGTTGAAATTTCCGCGGTGCCCTCGTGAAACAGATACAGCGAGGGGAATGGTTATCGAAATGATTTAATTAATCATTTCTGGTTGTTTTTCTATTATTTTGGGGAGGGGAGGGAGGGGCTTTCAATGTTTTTTTTTTTTTTTAACGAAATATGTAATATTTTTCACTTAATCATTGGTAATTATATTCTAGAAAAAGTAAGGAAAGTGAATGCATACAAGTAAATAAATAAATTCTAAATTTGTTTCATTCACGAAACATAGTAACACTTTCACACACAATACTGTATTAATTCTGTAAAAAAAAAAAAAAAACACTCGTGACACAAATATATTAATAAAATTTGAAGGCAATTTGGAAATGCATTTACAAAGTACAAAATATTTGGTGCAAACGGATATTAATCGTCTTAAATGTGCGTGACGGCGCTTCTATTGACCTATACTACTTGCACTGTACATATCACACTTGTACAAAGATGCAGAAGCTGTACCTGTACCGAATATCTTGAAACATATTTTCACACTTGCAACAAAATTGAACTTTTGAAACAGAGAAAACGGTGAAATCAAAGAACGTATTTCTTTTCGTTATTTCTTCCATTTGTCCTTCGCAATTAATCGCTACCAACAATTCGTTATTTCTCTACGTTGCTTCAAAATCCGTTCCGTTCACTAGGATCCTCAAGGATCGTCGCTGACAGTTTCTAATCCACTGCGAAGAGCCTCGGAATGGGTGTGCGTAGCGAGATCCATTTTCGGGAAGAAAAAAGGAAAAGAAAAAAAAATAGAATCGCGAACGACGTGTCGTAAAGTCGTGCCCGACTTTATACGGTTTGCGAGTTAGAGCTGGAATACTGTACGACCGGAGAGTAAAGTCCTGGCCTCGTTCGAGAGAGGAGCGAGAGGTATTCCATACGCGTAGGCATGCGACGAGTTTGGAAACGACACAATTATCGCCGGCTGATTACGATCCGATGATTTCCGAAAGGAATCGCGATCAATCCGAAATCGTAGACGTCGTTTTCCTGATTCACTCGGCGCGCGCAACGACAACCACTTCACTTTCCATTGTTCCCTCTCTTCGTTACGTTCATTGCGCTCCAGATTACGTCCTCCTTTGAAGGCCTGTTTGCGGAACGACCCAGACACGAAATCCTACTGTACATCAGTTTCGAAAAGCGTAACGTTACGAAGATTCGATATGGATATCAGATGGCTTTGTCAGTGTGCATGTTAGAAAAATATCCGAGAGGTGATATTTCTCTCGTGTCCCTCTCGAATTATTCACAGATTCGAGAAGTTCACAGGTATCGCGCGTGTTAACGACCTGACGTTCGTATCAGATTCTACAAATCACCAATGTCATACTCTGTGGATTCGGAATCTTTCCTAACAGTCTGTGAGGTGTTGCCTGGGCAGAGCTTTCTTGCACAATTCGACTATCATCGGTGAAATTTTACAAGTTAAATGTTCTTACACGAGAGCTTGAATCTGTTACTAGATATAAATTGAACACAATGGACTACCAATAATTTAATTATGTTTATGCGTTTACAGCAGAAGAAAACAGAATATACATAGTATGAAGAAATATATAAAATCCCAGAGCACTTGTTATCATACTTATAATTGATAAAAGAAATTTATTTATTACAATCTAATTTTTTTTTTAAGTTATTTTCAATAAGACATGTTTTTGATAAACAGGTGAATATATTTATTTTGCCTAATTCCTTATATATATTTAATTATTAATATATCAAACATATATTTATTACTAATTTAATCATTATATTTTATTTTAAAAAATTAAACAAATTTTTTTTAATAATTATATATATATATATATAGTAACTTTATAAATTTATAATAATAAGTTATAAAACTTTTTTCTATCGTCAATTAATACTACAATCACGATATTAAAAATAAAATTATTTGTATAATATTATCCCATTAAATTAACTTTGCGAAAATGTAAAATTTCGCATTCGAATACTCTGATTATTTATGTGCAAGAGAGCTTATCGTTGACGAGCTATTCCTATATCAAGTTTTACAACGCTCTATCTGATTTGTTCCAAAATTTAAGCTCCGTTGTACTCAACGCACGTATTAAATTTTATCGCACGTTCGAGCAACTCCGTAAACGTAGTGTCGCGATAATCAAGGGCCACTTGAAGCTTCCTTGAATAGTGTCGCAACGGTGGCCCGGGATACATCACGGTGACACGCGTGACAATTGTTCGCGTGTCGAAATCGCGCGTAATCCACCGTCGGAACAAGGTCGTGGCTGTGTCGCAAAACCGAGACGTAACTGCATTCTTGGCCCCGCGAGTCGAGCGAGCGTAATTCACTGGACGAGCAATCACCAACGGGCGCGTCCACCTTCAGATTTATCGAAACTGGAGCACGCTGGCGTGGCGCGGCGATACTAAGGAGAAACGAACCGAGTCGTGCCCTCCAGCATGTTGCCGCGAGTTAACAGGATTACAAACGCGCGCAATTAACTGGCTGTCCTGAATAATCGATGCGACGCCTGCGCATCGCCGCGAAAATAAACCGTGTCGCCGCGATTCGACTCGACGCCATTCGCGATCGCCCCGTTTGCCATTGAATTTAATAGAGAGTAAAATAGCAGAGTGCCATTCGTGCGTCTATGGGGGTATTTGTAGGTGCAGAAACGAATTATCCGTCCATGTACCATTTTTTTTTTAATTAATTGCATAAAATGACATCTATACAGTGAGTAATAGAACTGTTTAAAATACATCATTTTAAGGAAATTTGTTATTTAATTTGATAATCCACGATAAGATATACTTATATGTACTAAAATTTATAAATAAAAATTGATTATAGGTGAAAAGTTTTATAAAATGGCATTTTAAATCAAAATGTAGCATATTTAAGAACAAACGAATTGTAAAAAATTTAATTTTTTAGATAATTAATTTTAATATTAATTTGGGAAAGTATTAGTAATATTTTTCTATCTATAATAGTATATCTATTCTTTCTATTACGTTCGTATAAAAATACACTGACTGCCAAATCACGAATTAAAGTAAAATAAAATCAAAAATTACTAATATTAAATGAAATCACGTTCTTACTGCGTTCTGCAAAGTGTTAGATAATTCGATTACTTTTGTCTTCTTGACGAACCGCCGAGGGAGATCCACGCCGTAAGGAAAGTATGCCTCTATGTCGAAACACAGGTGCTCGCTCTTACCTGCAACAGAAAATATTTTCCCATTAAGTAAGTTGCCAACTCTCGCCGCTGATTTACATTTCTCTATTCTCAAGCGTTATGTAACTTGATTGCTTTTCATCTACGAAATGAAATCAGTACGTTTCTGATTGAAGAATAATTGCAAAAGACGATCGAAGACCGCGTATTAATTCTAAATGAAAACGACATTATCAAAATAATACGAAGCAGAAAGTTTCTGAGTCATGCTTGTTTTTTCTCACATTCCACGCTTTTCAAAATGTCAGCAACACAAAGAGCAACCGAGAAGAAAGTCAAAGCCGAAATGGAACAATCCAAAATGAAAACACACAGGTATTCAAGTATATACACTCAAGTATATACACTTCCGACAGAGAGTAAAAAAAAAAAAATTAACACACAATTTCACCTCGGGTGGAAAATTTCCCGCGCGAGATTATCCTATTCTCGCGCGTTCGCTCTTTCTCCCGGCGCGCGTTTTTCCATAGTTACATAATCTAAATACCGGTAGAGAAAAATACGGTTCTCTCTCCCGTCTTTCGTTGTGCGAAAAACATGGCCGATCACCGTGGGACTCGGAATAAAACGCCAGAGCTCGTAATAAAACGCAAACAACCTTCTCAGGGGGTCGTTTTCTCGATACTCGGCCAATGTTCGAGATTGTTAATCCGATTTTTCTGCCTCCTCCTCCTCCTCCATCCTTGGTAAGAACGTTCGATCGATCGGGGTCTCGAACCGAGTCCGAGGTATCGAGTTTCCACGTACACAACACGCTGCGAGAGACAACTGGGCGTGTGATGTAGGAATGGGATCAAGACCAATACGCATTCATACGAATCCAAGTTTGATGTCTAACGATAAAGAGTTTCGTCTCGCGTGTTTTAAACAAAATGCTCGAACAGACACGTTCTCGCGCAATGCGTTCGTTTTGTACAAGTCAAGTTCAACGTTGGGTACATTTGTTTGGGCCGTACTTCAAGTTCAGCGTATACGTTTCATCAAGTACGTTTTATACTAAATTTTCGTTAGCTAAGTTCGACACGTAAACTTTGTTTCATGACTCTCGAATGAGAATATCCGTATTTATTTTACACCAGCTGGTTTCGAACCCTATTGCTTTCGGAAATCGTAGTCGTAAGTAATTCGACGTTTGGAAAATTATTGAAAACTTGCGAAATTTTCACAAGTATTGTTCGGATTTTAAAGAAATTAAAATTTTTAGAGTAGATCTGCTTGAAACTTGAGACTCTTGTTCCTTTCAGCTCTCGCATCAGACGCATTTGTATCGATACAATGGAGAAGGTTCAGTCTGACACGATTGCAACATTATTTTTAAAATTATTACCATCGCCATGGGAATATTACACTGTTCAGAAAAATTAAAGAATATTTCAAAATGAATGTGAAGTACGTCAGAAAAACAAATGACGAGTCAAAGAAAGTTGTTCTTGTTTAAAAAAAACATCAAATGCTTCTTTTCTTTTTATCGCTTCATATTCATTTTGAAATGTCCCCTAATTTCTGTGAGCAGTATATATAAATCCATATCGAATCCAACTTGTGAGGTACTCGATCCCATCTCTAGTGTGATGTACCGGGGTCGTTTCTGCTCGCGAGTAATGCGACTGCTCGCCATTAAACAAGATATACGCGGCTACGACCGGTTGGATTTCGTATGTTAATTTGATGGTGACGACACATTGAGGAACGATGGTCGTCCGGCTGTGTGTTTCGTCGGATCGTCAAAGACGGGCCCCAAAGGAACAGCCGTCGTGCGTGTGTCTCCGAACAATTCGTTCATCGATCATATGGAAATTAGACCTTAACACGAACCCTCGTTCAGGCGTTCACCGAGGAAACTAACCGTGTTATGAGGGTCTTCATTTTTTTAACGTATAGAATTAATGGACGTGGGGACTGAGTAAGAAACATCTAAAAGACGGCTACTTTCATTCGACACTGTCATTTCTCTAGATGGAATTAAAGAAATCTAGTTTCACATATTTATTAATATTGTGTTTGTTCTGCAGATTTCTCTACATGCATAAAACTCTGCTGTTCAATAATGAAAACAATAATAATGTATTTGAGAATCGGTCGAAGAAATTGGAAAAGATCTTACAAATTACTAAGAAATTTTATATTCAGTTATGTATGCAATGAATGAAGAGTAGATTTTCGAAATGGGGAATTCAAATACAATAAAACAGGCACTATGAAAGCAGAGGGGATAATTCAAAGATTTTATCCCAGAAGACATAATTCCATTTCGTTCTAACTTTTACTAAATACAAAATTCACTGAATTGAAATGCAAATTCGTTTGCGAATAAGTAACTTTCAACCATTTAATCTACACAACATGTAAATCACAATAAGATTGTAACAACGTAAGTCCCTGAGTAAATTTATTTCATTGAAACATTCCTTTCAGAATTGTTGTATTACTCTGTGGCAAAGTAAAGATTATACTTGCTCTTTTCATCATCGTTTGTGGCTACGTACGTTAATTCAATAATACTGATAGGAGGAAGGGCAACTATCGCGGCTGTATATTCCGTTGAGACGTCAAACGTGCCCCCGGGGATGTGTATTGTAATACGCCTGCTTCGTTTCGTCGATCACGCGTATATAACCGCTCTCCGCAATTGCTATATCTCACGCGGCGAGTTCTCTTGTACAAGCCGGAGAGTTATAAAAGTATTTACACAATATTATTGACGTGGCACGACGAACGCAGCGATCCATAGCGAGCCGAGGTGTTGTTGATGGGACATTCAAGAGCACGCTTATGCGCGCGAATAATGTATTTACGTGACGTTGGAACATGAAACAAAGTGCCTTCCATCATCGCCAAACAATGATAAGGGGAAAGAACACGAAAGAAAATCTACGAGATTGAACGACGAATATCGATTTTATTTTAGAAGAATTCAAGCTGCAAACCGCTTTCTGCAAATGTGTATTTCGCAGAGATTACCGAAGTACGAAGAACAGTGAATCAAGGTAAAATTTCTTTCTTCTTATTGCGTGAATGATACAAAATCTTTCTTATATGCGTTTCTTCTATCGAACATGTATAAGTAACATAAATTAAACATTTTGCAATACATTTTATTAAAAGGAATTGTTAAAAGGAAAAGAAATAGAAATATGGTAATATTGGCAGTCAAAGTGATAACACATTTCGTGAAAGACAATGGATAGAAACGAGTTTGATAATTGTTTATTGATTTTTTGACCTAGTTTTTTTAATTCATTAATATTTACGAATTGTCTTCCATTCTGGTATACAACTCTCGCCAAATTTCCCCCAATAATTTTCTACAAAGATTTCAGTCCGGAGACTTGGCTAACCATTTTACACGAGTCTTTTTTGTTTGCAAAGTACCGTTTTACTATTTTCGCTTTCACGTTGTGCACGTTATCGTGTTGAAAAGTGTATTTATTTCTGACAATTCGTGTCGCGTACGTATATCAATTTGTTCGTCAATCGTTTCAACATACATTTTACTATTTAATTTTTCGGTAATGAATTTTATTTCAATTTTACCTTAGTATCTCTCCAAATCATTATACAGCCGCTCCTCCTCTGGAACGACGACTCGGAAGTTGTTGCTTCTTTCGTAAATCACGATAATGGAGACCATCAGGTCTACATTGAACCTTTTTTCATCGATACATATTACTCTTTGCCATTTCTTACACACATAAACATGTTTCTCTGCGTATTGCTCATGCTCTTGCTTTAATCGAGGTTTTCGTCGCTTCAGATGTTCACAATTCTTTAAAAGACATCGAAACGTTCCTGATCATTCATCGTAACTCCAGCGTTTTCTGCAATTTGTTTCGCAGTGGAGCTTGAACACTGTTAGACACCGCGGTCGTCCACAATCTTCTCTTTTTCCAGAATTATCGGGATCTTTTAGTAAATTCATCATTACTTTACGACTTTTGTTAACTGTTTTGGCTATTTTTGTTATGTTCTTCGTTTAATTTCAATATCGTGCGTATTTCACTTCTTTTCGCGACCCATTTTTACAAATATTAATACGTATTTCACACGAATGTTACGCTTCGGGCAATGTTTATATTTTCGTTTCTGTATTTGTGGGAAATTTCGTGTCCCGGTAATTCAACATTCAACATGCATACGTACATCAGTGCCCAAAGATGTGATGTAATACTCTACGCTTATCCTCTCTACTCTACGATAAATAATATAAAAAAATATAGAGTGTTCTATCTGTTTGTCTTTAGGATGTACATATTAACTTCGTAGTATAACGCATATTATGTAAGAACATACATTCATGGCAAATACTTGCAACTTTTACAAGTATTATTAAAAAAATTGATTTCAAGTTTAACTAATATTTTTTTATAATATAATTATATAATTAATTATATAATTCATATTTAATACAATTCATATAATTTAATTTAATTAATTCTTCTGAAATTAATGAGGTATATTACGTGTACATTTAAATATACGACAACTGAAATACGTGTTTAAACGATTAAATACTTCTGTGAATCACCGTAAAATCTGTGTTCATGTATAACATCACTGTTCTAGCATTCGAACCTATCAACCTGAATATTTATCGTCATTTCTCTGTTAACCTGTAACATCTTGCCGCACCATGCACGCAAGTTCATTCCACCACGCTCATAAACCATTCATACGCTGCACGCTGTATCTTACGGATTCGATTGTTCCTTTCTCACGACTGAGAACTATCCTTCAGATATCTGTACCTATACATATATATATGTATACTCTGGACAACATGAATGGCAGATACAAGTTTCGTTACTTAACCAACGATATCCTTTTGAGAAAGAGTGAAGAGAAAAAAAGAAGTACGCCTGTACCGTTACTACATCGAACGAGCTTTTAATGGCTCGTAAAAAGAATAACCAGAACCATAACGCACTTAATAGTTACGCAAAACTCGCATCGTACGAGTCGCTTTACCTCGCAGGAAATGAAAC